TTGCCTTTTGTTTTCCATCAGCTGAACACCTTCTTGTATTTGGACCCAACAATGAATATTTTATTAGAATTGTACTTACTTTTCTTATGGATGCTTCTCTAATTAGAAAGGAATCTGAAAAAGTCAGACTATTTACTACAATGTATATTCAGACTTATTATGTTTTCACTACTCAAACTCCTTTTGTCCACCCTTATTGTTTATACCTGCAAAAATCCAACACCAAGTGCCACCTGGTTACAAATTAATACCATAACCTTTGTTATCTTACTTGTATTTCTAGAAACAGCACTTAAATATGATATTAAAATCACCCTCCTTCAATAGGTAACTAATGTTTGCATGTTATAGATCATAGCCCTTTATCAAGAATAATAATGCGGCTTTACTCTTTACAGGAAATGGAAAATAAAACCTCAACAAATGGATGCAAATCTTCAGAGTGGCTCTCAAATGGACAGTGATGAAAATTGATCTGGTTACTTGTCAATTGCATTTTTCAGAGATGACATCAGCAGCAAAGCTATAGCCAATGCTGGCTCAATGCCCACCTCATAACAACCTTTCATGAATAAAAAACGTAATCTGTAAAGATATAAGCATCTCTGGGGCTGTAATTTCAGCTCTGAAACCGAATTAAACAACTTTCCATCAGCCTCATTAGTAAGCACTGAACCAAATTCTATACAAACACCTGAATATTTGCCAGCGAATGCTAACAAAACATTTCCTATCATCACCAATGTGTCATTCTAGAGGCAAAGCAGGCTGTTGACTGAGACAGTTTCTATATCTATTATTGGTTTTGTTTATGATCCATTTTATAGACTCTCTCGTTAGATTATTGCTAATCGAAATCCTGAATTGAAATCATTTGGAGGTCACATGCTCCTTAATGTTCTTCCAACAATTCTATTCTGTTCCATCAGTGTGAAATTCATCATGCTTCTTTACCTGGGGGGTTATGTTCATTGAGAATCACAAGTGATGCTGGTGTTGGTCTTCTTTTCCTGATCTGTGAATAACAAAGACCCAGCTAAGTTCAGTGAGAGTCAGACAGTGCCCCAGGTTACTCTACAACTTACAAAGCTGTCTAGTTCTCATCTTTTTCCAACGTACAAAAACAAATAACTAGAGTGCACACATTAGGTGCTCACTAATTTTATTTTGAATACTAAAAAGCCAGACAGTAGAACTGTCAGATATTAGCTTTATTAGCTTTTTTGACCAAAAAGCTCTATTTCCACAGAAAATAAATAGTTGTATATAATCAAATGATGCTACAGAAAATTAACACGCATTGACGATATAGGGATGACTTGCTAATTTTAATGGCTCTCTTGGAGCCTCATAGTATTGATAATGCTTTCAAGATCCATTACCCTTATTTCTAAATGAGAGAAGCTTAGAAAACTCAAATTTCTAGCAGGTTAAATTTAACAGCTTTAGTTTTTAATTTATATTATAAGCTTTTCTTATTTTCTATATCACATTTGGAAAAAAATCAACAAATAAAGAGAGAAGATGAATCGTATGAGAGTATGTAATTTAATAAAAACTAATAGTTTTTTTTTTTCTTAAGAGTTACAGGAGCATATTATGGTTAGAATTTCTAATGTGTCCTTAATTTCTTAAATAGATAGGTAAATTTCTAAAGTATATGTCACTGGGTTGGTAGATAACATATACCAATGACATTTTGTCCAGGATAGAACCATTGCCCCATTCAACATAGACACATGTTCAATGCTATATTTATCTGGCCTGAGTCTGGGTGAATCTACTTCAGATTACCAAAACATCCTAGAAAGTCATAAGTCTCAGATTTAATGTAATACTTTGTGTATAATATTTGGAAAAAGATTCAAAGATAATTTATGTTTTAAGAAATTAATGAATTAGGTTGGTGACCCTGTAATTTCTTTGCCTTTGCCTCTCCACTACGATAATTTTACCACAAATGATCTTTTAAATGGTTCCATTTCATGAAGAATCTAAGTAAATCTGAATACAAAAGACAATACAGACGTAAACCAATCACTCATGAGAGAGACAGAGAGAGAGAAATACAGATATATAGACATGTTCGACATGAAACATGAATCTAGATGTTAAAATACTATTTTTAATATCTGAATAAAATGGCTTTTAAATTATACATAGACCTACAAATCCTATCTATCATATATTACATATACTTACAATTACTGCTTTAGATACATAATGAAAACCATTACAATAAAATATTAAGTCTCAAGTCTGAAATTATTTTAAGATTTAATGCTTTCATTGTTAAATGAATCTTTTTATTCTATAATAATGAAAACAAGGTTGCTAATTTTGAGAATATTTTTAAAGTTTCTCTAAATATTGAACCTGTTATTTTAATAAGCAAAAGGAAACAGATTTTTGGATCCAAATCTGAATTGCTAATAATACCATTTTTCCTTAACAAGTGTCAATTTTGTATCACATAAAGTGCATATCTTACCAATAGTTCACCCAGTGCAACTCAAATAGTGCATGGAGACCAACTTATTTTTTATTCACATATCCTGGAAAGCCACAAAGGCAAATGCAAGCGGTAGAGAAGCTTTCAATTAATAAGAAAAATGTATGTCTGTATTACGGGTCCCCACCCAATTCCACTTACCTGCTCTGCTGCTTCAGGGGCAATCTGACTCTGGAATAAAGGCACAGCAAATTGTATCTTTTTGGGACTGTTGGGCTCCATGACAATGACAAGAGTTAGTCAGAGATGTGAAGAGCTCAGGAAAACTAACCCCAAGTGCTGTCTCAGATGTGTTTCCTCAGGCGCACTCCACCCAACCACACAGCACGCTTTGTAATAAATAGCTGTAATTCCAGAGCGAGCAAGTGAAGATGCCGAGGTCTGAGTAACTCCCTCTCCAACATCCACAGTGATGCCTGGCTTGCCTGATCCCCCACCAATGCCTCGAATCTCCTCAGTACAATACAGAGAAAAACAATAACCTAATTGTGTGCCTCTTCACTGATACACATGCCAAACATACACTCAGCAGCTAATTGAAAATGCAATGCTAGCCTTGAAGGACTTGCTGCCCTGGGATTTGAAAGAAAGGCTCTATCTACTGTACATTACTAATTGGTTGCTCAAAAGTGCAATGTAAGCTCCCTCTGAGTATTGCAGGGATGGGCTATTCATTATTGATGAACATAAAGCAAAGCAAGAAGTTTTTAGAGTTGGGGGTAGGGTTTGGGTATGGAGTCATTTCATTTCTCTTGTAGCAACTTATGTTTCAGACACCTTCGCTACTTTATATTCAGCCACCAAATAGTTGAATGTCCACAGAAGGTAAACCACAATCAAAAATATCTGCTATATTTATGCTGCATGATTTAGTTAGGTAAGACTGATCACAGCAGGCAGAGCATCTGTGGTGTAGTGAAGACAGCGCTGCCACCAGCTAAGCAGATCTTAGTTCGAGTTCCACCCCTTTCATTAACAAGCCCTGTGGCCTCAAGCAAATCACAAGCTATGTCTAGGACCTCATACATTCATCAGAAAAAGGAAGGGGTTGGACTCAATGACCTTTAAGCTCCTGTTCTGTTCCACCATTCTATAATTGTAGTTCAGTTTTCATTAGAGTGGAAAGTATTGGACAGCTAAATTTAGCAAACAGCTTGGAAGTAACTGCTGCTGCAGTGACCTCTATTTTATTTCCTTTTGGTGCTGGTTATAGCCTCCGAGTTGGAAGAATACAGAAGTAAGTAGAAAACATTAGTGGAAACAAATGGTATCCAATGCTGTGTTTTGTTGTCAATAGTAGGATATGCGTAAAGACAAAAACTTGAAAAAAAACTGTAAAAATAATAATCTCCAGAATGATAGAGGATGACAGTCACATTGGCTAGTGATGAAGGCAGAGAGAGATACTGCCAGATCTCCACATCTGTGAAAGTTAAAGGGGAGGCAATAGCATAGTCAGATGGCCTTCACGCATCCAACTCCCTTTGTGAAAGAAGCCTGAAAACGAAGCAGCTTTAATGGAAGAGAACTTGAGTTCTCTGCATCTTTATTTGAAATGTATTGTTTGATTAATACTAGACTTCTTATATGTTTTTGGATTTATATAATACGTTTTGATTGCTATTCTGGTTATTTACAATAAAGTTTTTTTTTTTTTTAAATTATGAGTCCATACCAGGTATTCATCTTAATGATTTAAGTGTGCAATGCTCTGTTGAAAGTGATATGCATTATTCAAGTAGATTTCTATACTCATGAGGAAAAAAAAGTAAATGAGGATGTGGATGTGAGAGTACTTTCAGCTGGAGAACAGTGCTGACAAGCAAGAAATTTTGTGATGGGTTCATCCTTGTAGTGTTGAAGGAAATTTTATAAATTACATTATGTGTAACAGTTTAGAAAGTCCTGAAAGAAAATATGAATTAATATAATTAATGAACTTATTTCTCTAATATTTCTTCAAATTATACAAAAGGAAAATAAAAAAGTATTTCTAGTGAACAATTAATACAAAACTTTATTTAGTATAGTAATTAAGAATATGCACTTGGCAGCCTCTAGTTCAAACCCTGGCTCTGCTACTTATTCAGTTTATCAACTTAAGCAGTAGGAGAACTTTCTACTGTAAGTTTTTGATGAAATAATTCTTTAAAAAAGATCATTGCAAGGCCAACACACGATAACCACTCAGTAAAAGATAGCTGTTATTTTTTCTTCAACTAGATTTTTCAAAAGGCTTGAAGATATGTATTTTTAACCTCAATCTCTACCTTTTTGAAATAATTTGATACCAGTTAGGATAATAGGTGATAAAGTGAAACTATGTATGCTTTATGGTATAAATGTCAACAAAATGATTCTCATTAACTAATTCCTCTATTTTTAATAGTTTTATCAGAGATAATGTTGTAAAGGGTCTGCCTAGATGCTGCTGTAAACTTCCCTCTTCACTGGGCCATCTCCTGTGCGTCCTTTATGATTCAGCCGAATAGTATTGCCTCTAGGAAATCTTTATAAGTTTACTACTACCCGCACTCTTCTCCGGTGGCAAAGCACCCAGTATACCTCCACTGAGGTCCTTTTTGAGCTAACTACTGATTCTATGAATCACTTAAAATGCAATTTAAATTTGAAGTAATCTAAATTTTTTAATGTGTTTATATGGAGAGTATAGTTATACTAAATATTAGGTGTACATTTTTCTCTGTTAGAGATAATAGTAATAGCTAACTTACGTAACACTTATGTACTAGGCACTGTTTTAAGTGCTTTATCTGCATTAACTTATTTAATACACATTAAAAAAAAAAAACTTTGAGATAGATATTATTGCCATTCTCATTCCTAATTTAAAATGAGGAAACCGAGAATCAGAAAGTTTATATCATTTGCTCGAGGTCATTCAGCCAATATATAGCAGAGCCAAGATTCGAACTCGGGCAATTTTGCCTAGAACCTGGGTTTTTAATCATTATGGCTACTGTAACATTGGGGCCTATAGAGAAGTTGATGAATCGTGCAATGGTTAGATATTCTGACCACAAGAGTCCCATGGTAAAAAATCTTAAGATGACATGGTATATGAATAAAAGGAAAGAAAATAGTACGATTATAGGATACTAGTAATCATAATTATATTTCAAATTAGATATCAGTATAGAATGAAAAATCTAGAGTTGTGCATCACGCCACCAAACTGATTTGAAGGAAGGCAACTTTTCCTCTCTCTCTCTCTCTCTCTCTCTCCTTCCCCCAACTCTCTTATAATGGGTTCCATCATTAATGATTAAAAATGTCTCTAGAACAAGAAACAACTATAGTCTCTCTTCAAGGTAAGTGATACTATGGTTCAAGGAGGTACATATTAAGGAAATAGGCCATTAGGCCTTCCTAATTTTATTCTATAATATCTATATGCTTTGATTTTCCACAGCTCTTCAAGACTCCCATACAGGCCACACTTCATCCCATCATCAGCCTTTCTGATGCCTTACCAACCTTCCTGAAAAGTTTTCTTGCCTTCCCTCCTTTTGTTGAAATTAGATTCATCTTTTAATTCCACCTCCTTAGGAAAGCACCCTCAGATTCTCCAGACAAGAGGAATTATTCCCTTTTTTCCTCTTCTGATATTTAATTATACAGTTTTATGTTATTCTACAACAATTTCTTATGTGTTCTTTTTGCCTCCCCTCCTAGACTGCAAATCCTTTTCCATTCTGTCTTAAATATAAACAGCACAAGCAAAATGTTGACCACTCATTAGCTACTAAATAATTTCACTCAAGCTTCATTTATTTGGTATTGTCAGAAAACATAAGGTGTTGCAATATACTGAATTTTCCCCAAACCACAGCTCATCCTTTTAAGCACCACACCTTACTTTTATTTTAATAGTTTAATAGGCACTTAAAATATAGTCAATATTTCCATGCTTTTTAGAAAGGGATATATCAAACATAATTTGTCCTTTTCCTTACTTTGTAGCATTCACATAAACATCAATTACTATACTCTGTCATATACGAAGGTGCCACCCAAAGCTATTGGTATTTTTTGCTATCCCAACTGGCTCCAACTTCCATAGATACATAGTTTTGATAACTGTTTTAGAGTCTTTCTTTATCTGATAATTACCAACAGTCATTTTTAAATTGTCACTCGTCTTAGTCTTTTCAAATTGCTATAACAAAATACCTGAGACCAATGGCTTATAAACAACAAACAATTATTTCTCACAGTTCATGTGGGTTTAAGGGGAATGTAAACATTCACTCCATTGCATTCACCTGATATATAATATAATACTTTATTTGTGCAAAGAGAGAAGAAAAGGAAAAGGAAGGGAAAGGAAGAGGAGTGGAGGGGAGAGGAGTGGAGGGGAGGAAATTTTTACTTTGTAATGTATTTCCTCTTTAAAGCTGTGTTTCAAATATATTGAGTTTACAAATCTTGAAAGACATACAGATATATGAGATAGTATTTTGTTTAACATTTGCTTGGCTAACTGTGTACCATCAAAAACAAAAGCTAATATTTTTTAAGCATGCCTACAAATATCTAGGACTACATTAAATGCTGGAAATAACATAATGAACAAAAGCAGACACCATATAATAGTGTCTAGATATATGTCAATTGAAAAGATTTCTAGCCCTAATACAATAGTTTTCAGCAACCATGTTTAATACTCTAATAATGGCAGTCATATTTGAGATGCATTCCCTCTCATGCCCTCCTTCAGTTCTAGCTGCAATTTTATTTCTTCTCTTAAAGAAAACAGATCAGAATGCAAGGGCAAGTGACATTATTATTGGGACTGTCTAGAATAATCTCAATTATATTTCATGTAAATTGTTGGAGAACTCTAAAATTTTTTATTAGTAGTATTAACAAATTACTAGTGAATCATGAATACCTAATTGAGACAAATAGGTATATCTATGAAATGTGGCTGAGTTCTACTAATCTAAATAAAATGGACCACTGTCTCCTGATCACTATTTAAATTTCTCCAGAGAAATTATTAACCATATTAACTCTTTCTGAATGTCTTCTAAGTTCACCCATACCATTCCAAATCTTATACTTTTTTGAATTCTATACTTATAAGAAGGCTTCTCAGACTAAGCTCATGAAATTGTAATCTTATAATAAAATCTGAACCTCCACAGCACTTAATATAAAAGTATATTTGTAGTCACTCCCACGTTTAAAGACTGACAGCATTGATTCATTCATTTATTTAGTGCCTGTCATATCCTTTCAAATTGTTCCTCAGTTTTTCTTGTCTTGTCTTCACTAACTCTAACAGTTTAGATTTACTCTAGGATCCCCATATCAATTAATGTTGTATTTACAATGCGTGTTGAATTGAAGAATTAATAATGTGTTATATAAATACTCAGGATTTTTTCCTCTTGACTATAGACATGCTGTTCTGTTTACTATATAATATTTTCCTGGCTCATCACTCAGCTATGTTTAATCTTTATGTCTTGTGGAGGTAGG